GGTACTACTATACATCCGGATCATCTTATTGATGATCATGTATGATGCTACACTGGGTATGTGTCAGCTCCGTAATTCTGACCTATGTCTGTATAATCTCCTTGTCAACAATGTATGACACTACACTATATCTGCATTATCTCCTTGATAACCACATTTGACCCTACAGTGCATTTATGTCATCTCTCTGACCACATGTGACACTAAACTATGTCTGTGTCATCTCCCTCATGGCCATGCATGACATTACTCTATGTCTACATCTGTGTTGACCACATATGACACCATATTATATCTGTGTCACTCCCTGTGATATGTGTCATGCTGAATTATGACCATGTCATTGCTTGGCAATCATATATGAGAATACATTGTGTCTACACTATCGTCTCTTTGACAGGCACATATTTCTGTCTGATTCCTCTGATGACTACATTCCTCTGATTCTTCCGATTCCTCTGATGACTACATGTGGTGACTCGACGTCATGTCTGCATAAACTCCTTGACAGCCATTTAAGAGATTCTGGAAGTTCATCCATTCACTAATGGACAATTTAAGTTGTTTTTATATCTTGGCTACTGTGACTAATACTGCTATGAGCATGAGGGTGCAGATACCTCTTCAAGTTACTGATTTTATTTTCTTTGGATATGTACCCAGTAGAGGGATTGCTGGATTGTATGGTAGCCCTATTTTAATTTTTTTTGAGGAGCCTTCATGCTGTTTTCCATAATGGCTGTATCAATTAGCATTCCCACTAGCAACATTCAAGGGTTTCTTTTTCTCTACACGTTTGCTAACATTTTAAAATCTCTTCTCTTTTTGACAATAACCATCCTAAGTGCAGGTGATATTTCATCGTGGTTTTGATGTGCATTTCTCTAATGATTAGTGGAAGGAGCACCTTTTCATATGTACCTGTTGGCCATTAATATGTCTTCTTTGGAAAAATCTATTCAGGTTCTTTGCCCATTTTTATTTTTTGCTATTGAGTTGTGTGAACTACATTTAGGATGTTAACCCATTATTATATATGTGATTTACAAACATTTTCTCCCATTTCATGGGTTGCCTTTTCATTTTTAAAATTATTTTCTTGGCTGTGCAGTAGCCTTTACTTTCATGTGGTCCCACTTGTTTATTTTTGCTTTTGTTGCCTGTGCTTTTGATGTCATGTCCAAAAAGTCATTGCCAAGACCAATGTCAAGCTGCCTTTTATATTGTCTTCTAGAAGTTATACAGTTTCATATCTTGTGTTTGTCTTTAATTTATTTAGGGTTAATTTTTAAAAATAGTGTAATGTTCTTCAGCATGTGGATATCCAATTTTGCTAGCACCATTTATTAAAGAGATTTTTCTTTCTCCATTGTGTATTTTTGATGCCTTTGTTAAAGATTAGTTGACCATATATGTGTGAGTTTATTTTTAGGCTTTCTATTGGTCTATGTGTCTGTTTTTATGCCAGTACTATTTTGATTACTATAGCTTCGTAGTATAGCCAAGATATGGTAACAACCAAAGTGTTCATTGACAGATAAATGGATAAATAAATGTGATATATATATAAAATACTTTTATTTTCACCATAAAAGAAGAAAACATTGCCATTTGTGACAATATGGATGAACCTGGAGGATTTAAGTGAAATAAACCAGACACAAAAGGACAAAATACTGTATGATATACTTTGACGTGGAATCTAAAAAAGTTGAACTCATGAAGATAGAGTAGGAGGGTGACTACCAGGGGTCAAGGGGTGGGAAAAATGGGGAGATGTTGGTCAAAGGGCACAAACTTAGGTTATAAGAGGAACAGGTTCTGGGGTCTCAAGTATAGCATGGGTGGTGGTGGATGTGCTAATTAACTCAATTTTGATGTCATTACACAATATATTTGTGTATAAAATCATCATGTTGTACAATTTGAATATATATAATTTTTATTTGTCAAAAACAAACATTTTTAAAAAGTACTTACAAGAATTTTTTTTTGGACAGCAGTTCTTCTCTTTTATTCAATATAATGATTGTATAACTACATTCCCTGTATGCCTCAAAATCTCTTATAAAGGTCAATATTTGCTGGATAGACAAACTTGGAGTTGCAGAACTTAGATATGTGATTTGCTGGCTGAGGGGTTATGAGCAAGGTTTTTATTTTTATTTATTTATTTATTTATTTTTAAATTTGAGTTCTAGAATACATGTGCAGAACGTGCAGGTTTGTTACATGGGTATACATGTGCCATGGTGGTTTGCTGCACCTATCAATCCTAGGTTTTAAGCCCTGCATACATTAGGTATTTGTCCTAATGCTTTCTCTCCCCTTTCTCCTCTTGCCCCTACCCCCAGACAGACCCTGGTGTGTGATGTTCCCTCCCTGTGTCCATGTGTTCTCATTATTCACCTACCACTTATGAGTGAGAACATGCAGTGTTTGGTTTTCTGTTCCTGCGTTAGTCTGCTGAGAATAATGGCTTCCAGCTTCATCCATGTCTCTGCAAAGGACATGAACTCATTCTTTTTTATGGCTGCAAGGAAAGTTTTGGATACAAAAATTCTGGCAAAAATGGAAACATCTTGTGACTAACATACTTTTAAGCAGTCACATATCCTTTATGTTATAATCAGGTGTAGAATTTTATTGGTGATTTATTGTAATTACACAGTATTTCATTGTCTCCTTCAAAATTACATTTGCATGCTTGCTGTCTTACTCGCTAGGACTTTTCAAAGGTGATCCCTTGCTCATACATATAAGTCTTCCTTATACCCTAGAATGTAAATGTCCTGAGGCTGAAGAATTTTATTTTTTTAAATAACTATTTACTTTTTAAAAATCTTCTCATAGATCCTGGCTTTTAATAACCATATCTTAAGTGTAATTAATCCACCCCTCTCATTTTAAATATCATTATTGATAGAAATAATTTACTCAACGATATGTATCAAAATATCTACTTTGTGCCAGAATTGTTTTAGGAATATGGGATATTTGAGTGAACAAAAGAGATAGGGATCCCTGCCTTCATGGAGTTACATTGTGAAGGGAGAGGCAGACAATATGTAACACCATACTCGTATCTTATATAGAATGCTAGATTACATGGAATGTTTGACTGCATGGAATGTTAGAAGTTGGTTCACACTAAGGGGGGATAAAAAAGGTAGAATTAAAGAATCAGGATTCTTAGGGTGAATGAGAATAAAATCAAGCCAATTCTAGTTTTATTTTCTCTATAATCTGGTACTTGCTCTGGCCGTGATTCTATTCTTCCCTTGTTTGATAAAACATTGCTTTGAAAATATCTTTTTTTTTTCCCCCTTTTGCATGCTTTGTAAACTTCTTCTCATTCTAGGAATGAGAAGTCTTTCTAGGAAGTCTTGATGTTTAGAATGATCTTTTTTAATTTATCTCTGGTCTTTGCTCCTAATTCCCTTCTTAAAATTTAGATCTCATCTAATAGTTACCTGTGCAGCAACATCTATCTATGTATCTATCTATCTGTCTATCTATCTATCTACTTTTTCTTCTTCATTGGAATTATTCTGAAGGCTGGTTCCAATGACCTTCATTGGAATTATTCTGAAGGCTGAATTATTCTGAAGGCTGCTTTGCTTTCTCATTTGGAGGAGTTTGTTTACTTTCAAAAAAACAGATAGTTGTATCCCTATCTGTAAAAAAATTACAGTGTTTCAGGCCATATTATTTCTGAGTTTTCTGAAGTTTAGAAATATAGTTTTATAAAATTTAAGGTGTAGATTTATGCAGGACATTCTCTTTCTTGTTATTGACTCTGAAACCAAATTGGTCACTTCCCTTTGAGGCTTTTGAAATGTCCAACTGAATTTCAAGTTATATGTTTTTAAATTACATTAATTCTAAAATGGCAAGTTTTATCATTTTTGTACTTTCTCATGAAGTTGACATTGTCAGAAAGGCAAGTAAAAAATTTATTACAATATTTTACTTTTCTCTGGATGCAAATCAAGTACCTACAATTTTGTATCCTTGCTATATTTTACTACTATGTAAAGCTATAATTAGAGATTTAAAAAAGCAATCTTCATCTGGCAAGGCAAATTATAACTTTTCTTCTAACAAAAATTTTACTACTCATGTGTTTCTTTTTCAATATTTATTTATTTAACTTATTCATCCTTTACTTATAAGGAAATGTCCATAGTACTTACTCCATCAATTTCTCCATCCATCCATCATCCATCCATCCATCCATCCATCCATCCATCCATCCATCCATCCATCATCCATCCATCCACTCATCCATCCATCATCTGTCCATCATCCATCCATCCATCCATCCGTCCATCCATCCATCATCCATCCATCCACCTATCCATCCATCCATCCATCATCCATCCATCCATCCATCCATCATCCATCCATCCATCCATCCATCCATCCATCCATCCATCCATCCTACAGCTATTTATTGAATGGCTACTATAGGCTTGGCACTTTTGGCTGCTGGAGGCAGAGCAGGAACAAAGTGTTCGATTAGGTTTTTCTGTGGAAAAGGGTTTTTGAAGCCTGTTTTTTCCCTGTTGAGTAGCGGCTGATGCTTCCTCTTGGGATGTTCCTTGCGCACCTTGCAGAAACTCAGACTCACACCTAGTGTATCATGCTGGTCTTGCTGCTTATTTCATCACCTGCCTCTTGAAACTTGCTCTAATTCCTCTTTTTCTCTTAAAGGTTTTTCTTTCTGGATTCCTGTTTCTTGCTCTCTTTTCTACCTTGGAATACATTATTTCTTCTAATAAGCTCAGGGCTACAGGGGAGCTCCCTCTCGCCCTCTCCTGCAGTGGCACCAGCAGGTATTTAGTGTATTAAGTATCCGGCTCTCACCACTGGCAAGAAGATGAACTTAGCACAGAGCTTGTGTGTCAGGGGGATAGATATTTATACAATGCAGGGTCTTTTATCCAAAGTTCTGTATTTAAGATGAATTTATATATATCCCCACTCCTCTCAAAAAGGAACAGCAAGAATTTTCAGTGCTGCCACAAGAAAATGCATTGCCAAACTGGAAGGCCATGAAGGTGAAATTTCAAAGGTGAGTTGCTTTCTCATTTGGAGGAGTTTATTTACTTTCAAAAAATAAAGAGCAGGGCATGGGTGCAGTGCCTTATACCTATAAACCCAGCACTTTGAGAAGAAGAGGTGAGACGATTGCTTGAGGTCAGGAGTTCAAGACCAACCTGGGCAACGTAAGGATACCACATCTCTACTAAAAAACAAAAAAAGTCAGCTGCGCATGGTGTCACACACCTGTAGTCCCACCTACTCTGGAGGTTGAGGCAGGAGGATCGCTTGAGCCCAGGAGGTCAAGGCTGTAGTGAGATGTGATTGCACCATTGCATTCCAGCCTGGGTGACAGAGCAAGACCCTATCTCGAATTAAAAAAGCAAAAAGCGCGTGCTCATTATGAATAGGTCTACTGGAACTGAAGTACTAAAATTTGTTCAATTGTCTCATTTTTTTTTTCTAGAAATCACTCACCTAAAGACTTTATTTTTAACTGTGCCCTCAAACTTAGCATAATAATGATTTCTAAAACCTCTTAAAAAGTATGGAGCGACATTCTCTTCCACTCTCAGCAAAAGATTTAGTTAGCTGAAAATACTTAATACAGCAATTTAAGGAGTGTGTAAAGTGCTTTTCCTGGTTCCAATAAACACATAAGTTTATGTTGTGCAAAAAATATGCTGTGCAGCAAGTGTGAAGTGTTCTGTAAGTTAGATGCAATTGAGGAAGTAGTTCCTGGAAATACGTAACACCTAAAATATAAAATTATCCACTTTGAAACTACAAAGCTGTATCTTAGGATTTGTATAAACTTCCCCCAAAAGATCATTCACAGAGCAGGCCCACCTAGTCAGTGATCTGAAGTTTAGATGTGTCATCAGAACTTTGTAGATTAGACTAGGACTTGGTGGCTCTCACCTCCCAGTTCAGCCCAATCCCTTGGTTCCCTGTCTGAGATCAGCTGTGTTCCTGCTTTGTAAAATTTCAGCTTGATGATTTTAGGTTTCTGAAGGCTCCATCTAGACCCTGGAACTCTGCCCCATGCTGTGCTCTCGGCTCTTCTGCCTCTGCACCTGCAGCTTGTGATCATTGCCCTCTGGCTGGTCAGTGGAGGTCTCCAGGGCATGCAGACTATGGCCTCTTCATAAGCTGGGAGGCTTATGGATGGCAGGAGGGGATGGAAAAGTGGGGTGTGGGTGTGGGAGGCAGGAAGAGGAGGAAGCCTGGCCCACATTTCTGAGTGTCTGACTAGGTAGCTATTGATACATCTGGTGTGTCCCCTCCACAAGTAAACATCTATTTTCATGAATGAGTGACTATAAAGAATACTCTAGTGCTATTTTATTAAATTTTATGCTTTTTAAGTGAACATATTATTGAATTGGCATCTGGTAAGGGCATTTCTATGGGGTGCAAAGCTGAAGTATTCAGTCATTCAGCAAACGTTTTTAGAGAGTGTCCACTATGCTGGGCATTGCACAGCCACTGGTAACACAGTGATAAAAACAGAAATGGCCCTGCCCTCCTCAAACCTTCATTGACGAGATGGCCCGAATCACTGTCTTCCGGTGGTAAGAGAGGGATGTAAGCATGATGCCCAAAGGAATGCAGGACTAACAGGTTCCTCTGATGGTCACTCAGATACCAACTGGCCACACCTGGCACATGGGAGGCACAGAAGGTTATTTATGGAAAATGCCATACTTGGGGTGGCAGTAGATGAGAACTTCCTTTCTTGTAGGTTCTAACATTCACTTATTCTGTGGCACAGATTAGAGAAGGATCTGTGTGCTTTTTTTTAAAAATTTATTTTAATTTATTATTATTATTTTTATTTATTATTATTCTTTTTCTGAGATGGAGTCTTGCTCTGTCGCCCAGACTAGAGTGCAGTGACATGATCTCGGCTCACTGCAACCTCGACCTCCCGGGTTCAAGCGATTCTTCTGCCTCAGCCTCCCCAGTAACTGGAATTATAGGTGTGCGCCACCACACCCGGTTAATTTTTGTGTTTTAAGTAGAGATGGGGTTTCGCCATGTTGGTCAGGCAGTCTTGAACTCCTGACCTCAGGTGATCCACCTGACTTGGCCTCCCAAAGTGCTAGGATTACAGGCCTGAGCCACCGCCCCCAGCCTGGATCTGTGTGCTTTTGACCACAAAGACGACACCAGGGTTTGGCTATGAAGGATCCTGACTCGTGTGTTCATCCACACCAAGGCCCTGCATCTTTGCATGGAGAAGGGCATCGTGCATCTTTGGAAAGAAGCTGGGTGGGGAATACTCAAATTATATGGATGCTTTGGTCTTTATGCTTAAAAATGTGTGGAGTAGGCAATTAAATTTTCTCTCTGGATTTTAATTTCCATGTATTAATCCCTGCAATATTTTTTTTCCATCATGAAGAAATTGTTCTATGCAAGAATAAATACCAGACTAGGAAGGTGACATGTGCTTAGTAATGTCCTCTTTTTGCTGATAAGAAATGTGTTTGGAACCATTACACAAAGCTGTGATCATTTTTCTTTCTTTTTTGCAGATTTCTTTCAACCCTCAAGGGAACCGTCTTCTAACTGGCAGCTCTGACAAAACGGCTAGAATCTGGGATGCTCAGACTGGCCAGTGCCTCCAGGTTCTTGAGGGGCACACTGATGAAATCTTTTCATGTACTTTCAACTATAAAGGCAACATAGTCATTACAGGTATGGAAGACATCAACACCATAGACTCATTTTTTCTTGATTGGCTGTTAGAGGTTCCAAGCTGAATACTAACAGGAGTTCATCCCCATTCCCTACCTCTTTTCTACAGTCACTAGCTCATCTTGGCCTGCCCTCATATTTTCATTATTTAATTTTAGTTTTATGAGGACCTGCAAGAGTGAGCTCTGCCATTGACTATAGTAAGGCTTTGTGAACTTTGAATTTTATTTGCTCTAGATAAGGTAATAATTTATCTAGATTTAGTAACCTTAATGGTTACTAAATTTCCCCAGGTGTTGTATATCAATTGAATGGTTGATATTTAGTCAGCCAGGCGCATTGGCTCATGCCAGCAATGTCAGTGCTTTGAGAGGCTGAGGCAGAAAGAATGCTTGAGGCCAGCCTGGGCAATATAGTGAGACCCTGCCTCTACAAAATTAGAGCATTAGCTGGGCATTGTGGCATGCACCTGTAGTCCCAGCTGCTCAGGAGGCTGAGGCTGGAGGAGCACTTGAGCCAAGGAGTTGGAGGCTTCGATGAGCTATGATCGTGCCACTGTACTCCAGTCTGGGTGACAGAGTAAGACCCTGTCTCAAGAAAAAAATTCAGTTTATGGCAGTAAGTGTTAGTAACCAAAACAAGTCAGGATCAAAATTCTCCCTAGTTGGCTTTACAGCCCATTAGAGATTTATTCTTTGAACAGAGTTGTTTTCTCCCCTGCTAAAGCACTAATGTTTGGGGGGAAAAGAACATGTATTAACTGTTTTTCAACCATTAACAGTTTATGGTGAATTAATAATATTAGCAACTTTTCATAAGAAAATGGTAGCTTAGATTGTGGAAGGGGGAGAAAAATGACAGGATGATGGTATCATGTTAGTGCAGTGGCTCGAGGGGAGGCCTTGGCAGGGAATGGGTGCCACAGTGGTGTGGAGTAGGGTGCCCTAAGTGAGCACGGAAGACCGGATCTGCCTACGTACCAGTGATTCTCATTGTGTTGAGCAAATTTAAAAATTACTGGTCTAATAAGTTAAATGCCACAGGTCCAAGGTTGGCTTTACATATTGGCTAATTAGGTGGTTTCCTAGTCAGGTAACTTCAGGAGTGCTGAGAATTATCTTCCCTTACCACCTAGAATGCCTCCCCAGTCTACTTAATCATAGACAGTTTCCAAAATCACAGGGCTTATGATCTTCAAAATATTCGGGCTTATGATTTTCAAGTGTTAACTAAAATGTAGGTACTTCGAAAACACTGGGAAAATAAGCCATAGATTTTTGTTGTCAACACAATATCAAATCCTTCTCTTTGATGAGAAAAGAGGTGAGGGGCTATGATGGAGGGCACAGGGCACTCCTGCAGGGAGTGAGAAAGAAGGAAGACCAGCCTTTCCTAGTCCACATGGCCTCATGTAAGGCTGGCTCTGCAGTACCTCTTCTCTCAATCAGTTTTCACAGAGGACCCTGGAGGGTTTAGCAATATTGCAGCAAAAGAAATTTTGTTGTTGTGCCTTGCTTTGATGCCGGCACATACATTCCTGAGTGCTTCTAAGATACCACTGAGTAATTTAGTGTATCCCAAAGCACCAAAGTGCTTAACGTTGGCTCACTAGACAACAGAGCTTATTAGAATGGGGTGACACTTCTGTCTTGCCATCAATAGAGCAACCACTTTATTTGAAAGAGTCTACTCTATTTTCCGAGTGGACGCCAGTGTGATTAACTGCAGGCATTTTGTAGTGGGCTGCCTGAGGCTGGGTTTAGAATCACAAAGAAAATGGCAGAAAAGTAGCTGGCATGGTCTTTACATTTTTAAAAACACGAAGTGTCGTTTTGTGGGATATGGTTTTTATAGGCTTTCCTAGTTCCTAAGGCACTCACACTTCTTATACTGATGTTATGTGCCTGGTCCCTGAAGGTGAGAAAACCAGTAGTGCCCACTGGTGATGAGAAAACCGCCCTAAAATTTTGAAAAGTTCCAGAGTGGTATGTCCTGCCTCCTCCTAAGCTTATCACCCAAACCTGGAGATATTCAAAGTTACTGTATTTCCACTGGGCGGTGATGTTTGAGGGGACGGCAGAGGGGATGGCTGAGGTGGCTGCATTCTCAAGTTCTCTCCCATTCTAAGAAGCCATGAATCTTGCTAGTGTAAGTAAGCAGGATGTGTACCTGCTTAATTTACAACTAGCTGGTATCGTGGAAAAAAAAAAAAAAATCACTACTTCAAAGGTGCCTGAGCTGCTCAGAGACTCTGCAGCTAGGTGCGGAGAACCTAGTCCATTTAGCACATTGCTAATTACCAATGGCCCAGAAAAGGTCAACTTGTAGAAAGAGAGAATGAGGTGAATGAAATGAAGAAAAAAATAACTCTGTGAAATCTGTTTTATTAGGCAGCAAGGATAATACCTGTAGGATATGGCGTTGACTGAAGGAAGCTGGTCAGTGAGCAACCTTGCTAGCAATGGTAATCCAGAACTGGAACTTCACAGACAGCGGCTCCTTTAATATTTCTTACACTTTCTCTTTTTCTACTAGTCAACTATTTATACAACTGTCCTTTATTTCACGGATATGACCATTAAACATGACAAAGTTATGCCACTCCAATATTATTATTTGATGGAGATGGCAAGACACAGCATAATGTTTGGCTAATGCCACCAGTTATTTCCATTGTGTTTGTTTTTTAAAAGCATTATGATACTGAAAAAGGAAACCAGAGTAACTCAACAACGTGTCTCCTGGATTTTACTTTGAAGCCTATTGTTATAATTTCTGTTGAATAAAGTGTTTGGAGGAAATTCCTTGTACATCTGTATTTATGATGTATGTTTTTAGGGTGAAGTAAGGGAAATAATGTGGATCTTATTTAATAGCAAATATCTTCTGTATTGATACATTGAAAAAAATGTTGGCAGGTTTATTTCTAAGGAAAAGTTAAACAGAATATTCAGACTATTGCATTTGAAAATCTGGGTGGGGCCAGGTGCCGTGGCTCACACCTGTAATCCCAGTGCCTTAGGAGGCCGAGGCAGGTGGATCACTTGAGGTCACAAGTTCAAGACCAGCCTGGCCAACAGGGTGAAACCCCATCTCTACCAAAAATACAAAAAAAAAAAAAAAAAAAAAGAAAAAAATTAGGCGGGCGTGGCAGTGGGTGCCTGTAGTCCCAGCTACTTGGAAGATTGGAGCAGAAGAATTGCTTGAACCCAGGAGGCAGAGGGTTCAGTGAGCCAAAATCGTGCCACTACACTCCAGGCTGGGTGACAGAGCGAGACGCCATCTCACACACACACTAAATAAATAAATAAATAAATACAATCTGGGTGGAAAACGATTGAAGCATGAGAGAAAATGATCAAATGCCAACCTTAGTACTGCTGGAATATTTTTAAATGTTTTTTAAAAGCTTGGTTTATGTAAAAGTACCCAAATGCATATTAAAATTAACATTAAAAGAAAAGCACAAGCATTAATAAGGCCTGAATCTGAAGCAAGAGAATGCCTGAAAATCTTGTAAAATTATTTTTCAAAAAGAGCTTCATTGATATATAATCAATATATAAAATAATGCATATATTTAATGTATACATTTTCATGAGTTTGAACATATATGATGCCATCATTAAAATCAAGGTACTAAATATACTCATCATCTTCAACTATTTCCTTGTGTTGTTTTGTGTTTTTTGTTGTTTATTGGTACGAGCACTTTACATGAGCTCTATCCTTTTAGCATATTTCAAGGTGTATAATACTTTATTGTCAACTATGGGTACTGTGGTTTACAGCAGATCCCCAGAACGTGTTCTAGAACTCATTTTCTTAATAATGTGAATAATACCAGTATGGCTGAGTGCTTACCATGTGTCAGTAGTGCCCAACCACTTCATGTAGAACATCTCATTTAATCTTCCTAGCAACGGTTACAAAGTAGATACAAGCCCTGATTTAAAAACGAGGAAACTGAGTCCCTGAGAAGTTAAGTAATTTGCCAAGGGCATCTGGATATTAGGTGGTGATGCTGGTTTTAGAGAGGTGAGGAAGGTACAGAAGCAAAGTTTGAAGCTAGCAGAGGTTGGTACCTGAAGTTTAAGAAACTGCTTCCATACATAAAAGTGCAAGGTGAGCAGCAAATGCTGTAGAAAGTTATCCAGAAGGTCTAGCTAAGATCATTAATGAAGGTGGCTACATTACATAGAAGAGTTTCAATGTAAATGAAACATCCTTTCATTAGAACAAAATGCCATTTAGGACTTTCATAGCTAGAGAAGAGAGGTCAGTGCCTCACTTTAAAGCTTTAAAGGATAGGGCTGATTCTCTTGCTAGGGCATAAGACAATTGGTGACTTTAGTTGAGGCCAGTGCTCATTTACCATTCCTGAAATCCTAAGGCCCTTAAGAATTAGGTTAAATGAACTCTGTCTGTGCCCTGTAAATGGAAAAACAAAGCCCGGATGACAGCCCTTCTGTTTTATAGCATAGTTTACTGAATATTTTAAGTCTACTGTTGAGACCCACTGCTCAGAAATAAAAAAGATTTTTGTTTCAAAAATATTACTACTCATTGACAATTCACCTGGTCATCCAAGAGCTCTGTTGGAGATGAACGAGAGGATTAGTTTTGTTTTCATGCTTGCTAACACAACATTCATTCTGTAGCCTATAGATCAAGGAGTAATTTTGACTCTCAAGTCTAATTATTTAAGAAGTACATTTTGTACGGCTATACCTGCCATAAATTGTGATTCCTCTGATGGATCTTGGCAAAGTAGATTGAAAACTTTCTAAAAGGGTTTTACCATTCTAGTTGCCATTAATAACATTCATGATTCATCCTGAATGATGAATCATTTTGAGGAGGTCAAAACATCAACATTAACAAGGGTTTAGTAGAAGTTCATTTCAGTCCTCATGGATGACTGAGGGGTTCAAGAGATGTGGTTCAGAATAGCAAAAGAACTAGAACTAGAATTAGAAGGTGTGACTGAAATGCTACAAAGCCACAATAAAACTTCAGTGGATGAGGAGTTGCCTCTTACAGATATACAGAGTGGTTTCTTGAGATGGAATTTACTCCTGGTGAAGATGCTGTGAACATTGTTGAAATGACAACAAAGGATTTAGAATATTATATAAACTTAGTTGATAAAGCAGCAGAAGGGTTTGAGAGAATTGGCTTCAATTTTAAAAGAAGTTTACTATGGGTAAAATGCTATCAAACAGCATCACATGCTACAGAGAAATCTTTCAGGAAAGGCAGAGTCGATTGATGCAGCAACCTTTATTGCCATCTTATTTTAAGAAACTGCCACAGGCATCTGAACTGAACCTGCAATATCTCCAAGGTCTGCCTTCATCTATATTGTACATCTGCATACCTGCATTCATTGCAGCATTATTCACAATTGTCAGGATATGGAAACAACCTCCTAAGTGTTCACTGATGAATATATGAATAAATAAAATGTGATATATATGAGATAAAGATATATACATATATGTGTATTAGATTTTCTTACATTACATTGTCAGATAAAGATATATACATATATATTACATTTTCTTTGATATAGACATATATGTATCACTATATCCATATAGATATATAGATATCACATATTCTTTATCCATCATCCATCCATGCACGCTTAGGTGGTTTCCATGTCTTGGTTATTGTGAATAATGCTGCGGTGAACATGGGAGTTCACACACCTCTTTGAGATACTGATTTTATTTCCTTTGGATATATATCTAGAAGTGGGATTGCTGGATCATATGGTAGTTGTATTTTCAATTCTTTGAGGTTCTTTCATACTATTTTCCATAATGACTGCACCATAACTCCTTATCTTACATATGGTTTGCAAATATTTTCTCCCATTCTATGGTTGCCTTTTCTTTCTGTTGATTATTTTCTTATTTGTGCAGAATATTTTTAGTTTGATGTAATCTTATTTGCTTTTTTTTTTTTTCTTTTACTGCTGGTGCTTTTCCTGTCATGACAAAAAAAAGAAATCTTTGCCACAACCAACTCTGTGGAGCTCTCCCCCTATGTTTCCTTCTAGGATTTTTTATAGTTTCAGGTCTTATATTTAAATCTCTAATCCATTTTGAGTTGATTCTTGAGTATGATGTAAGATAAGGATCCAATTTCATTTGTTCTTATGTGGATATCCAGTTTTTTCAGCATCATTTATGAAAGAGACTATCCTTTTCCCATTGTGGTTATTTCTTTTAAAACTCCAAAAAAATAGAAGCAGACGCTGACTCTTGCCTATCTAACTCTTTGATTGCTTTAGGGAAGGGTGATACTGTTTTGTTACATCATTCAAAAGAGTTGGCCAATGTATGATAGTGGAGATCCAATGTCCCATAGACCAATTTAGGTGGAGGAAAGCCTTGGCCAGAAAATGGCTTATTTCGCTAGTTTTTATATGTTGAGGAAGTCTTTCTTAATGTTTATTATGGTTTTCAGATATTCCAACCTACTTAAAATAAGTGTTTGATTACTTACAGTCATAAGAAAAGTGATAATATGCCCACTTTATTTTCATTTGCCGGAAAAGGCATTGAAGAGTTGTAGTGCGGTATGTGTGGGGTCTGGAAGTCAGATTGCCTGCTTGTGGATTCTGATTCCAACTCTTAATCATTAGGCAAGTTACCTGACCAGTTTACTTGCTGTGTCTCAGTTTCCTTACTTAAAAAGTGATAACAATAGTTCTCTTCTTTAGGATTAGGAATACCTGGCGCAGGCTGGGTACGGTGGCTCACACCTGCAATCCCAGCATTGTGGGAGGCTGAGGCAGGAGGATCACTTGAGCCCACGAGTTTGAGACCAGCCTGGGCAACAAAGTGAGACCCTATTTAAAAAAAAAAAAAAAAAGGAATACCTGGCACATAATAAACATAGTAATCAACATTTACTATTATTATTATTATTGTTTGAGACAGGGTCTTACTCTTTTGCCCAGGCTGGAGTGCAGTGGTGTAATCTGTAACCTCTGCCCCCAGAGCTTAAGCAATCCTCCCACCTCAGCCTCCCAAATAGCTGGGACTATAGGCACATGCCCCCACACCTGGCTAATTTTTCCTTACTTTTTGTAGAGATGAGGGCTTCCAATGTTGCCCAGGATGGTCTCAAACTCCTGGGCTCAAGCAATCTGCCCACCTCAGCCTCCCAGATTGCTAGGATTACAGGTGTGAGCCCCTGTACTGGCCAACATTTACTACTATTTTTATGAACAAAACCTTAGTCATCTTATTTAAACACATTTCTCCAGAAAGAACACGGTATTACTTCCTCAGAAATCATACTTGAGATATAACTGACTTTAATGTGTTATAGGTATTATAAGGAGAATTATCTAGATCAATTTTTTATCAATTAGAAATAAAATTTAAGGTTCTTTAGAGTATTATCCTTTTAAAAGTTCTGTATTGAACAGAGGAACTGAGAAGTAAAGAAATCATCGATATAGACCATTATGATCTAATCCATCTTCTTCATATGTTTAGATTTCTTATGAGTCTATGAAAGAAGTTATTCTTATAAAAAGAAATAGTTTCTAACAGCTCATATAAAAATATATTAGCT